ACACAGCATATGCAGAGTGACTATGGCTGCCTACGAGAAGCAAAGAATTTTGTGTTTAAATCTGTGTTTTCTATTACATAAAATTATGTAGAATGATGAACCAATGGAAGAATGGGAAGAAAACTTAAAATATGGATGAAAATATTTTTTAAATACTTTCTTCCTTATATATAAAGACAACATAGATTAGTGGTTCCACTATTGATTTACAAGTTGTGTGAATTTAATCAAGTTACTTAAATTCTCTGTGACTCACTTTCTTATCTGTGAAATATACATAATAATGATACTACCTCCTAGGTTTGTGATGAGACAAATTAACTAATGAATAAAATACACAGAGTAGTGCTCACACAGAGTAAGGGCTTGATGTTAGTTATAATCATCATTTCTGTGTTACACATTCCACAGTTATAGCACAAATATAAACTGGTTATTTTATAGCATCATTCCTCCCCCTCCTCCCAGCCTTGTCAACAAAAAAGGGATGTGGCCAAAATGAAAGTGGGTATTGGAGAAGTTATGATGGTATCTCACTTACTTTCACAAGTCTCTCTTGGTGAGAATTGGAAACAAGAAAAAGGAGCCTCTAAATTATTGAAATAGCTATTTGTAAAATGCTTGTCTTTACCCAGACCATTTTACTCGTATTTTACAGACGTTTCTAAAACAACTCTCTGTTTCGAGGCTTTCAACCTAGAGCTAATAAATGGAGATTGTTCTTAAGCACTCCATGTTCTAGGAGCTGAGCCAGGAACTTACATGGGCTATTTTATTGAATCTTTGCAAATCTCTGTGAGGAAGTGTATTTGTTTTCTATTACTGTAACTGATTACCACAAATTTAGTGGCTTAAAACAATACAAATTTATTTTCCTATAGCTCTGGATGTCAGAAGTCTAAAATCAGTTTTACTGGACTAAAATTGAGGTGTTGGTAGGCCTGCGGTCCTTCTGGAAGTTCTAGGGGTGAATCTGTTTCCTTGCCTTTCCAGCTTCTAGGCCCCTTTCTCCATCTTCAAGGCTCCTCACTCCAACTCTGCTTCTATCCTTACATCTTCTCTCTCTTACTCTGCTCCTTCTGCCTCCCATTATAAAGATTTTTGGATTATGCTAAACCCACCTGGATAATCCAGGATAATCTCCTCATCCCCAAACCCTTAATTTAATCACACCTGCACAGTCCCTTTTAATGTGCAAAGTAACCTATTCACAGATTCTGGGGCTAGGACATAATATCTTTGGGGTTGTTTTTCATCCTACCGCAGGTGGATACTATTCTACTCACTTTGCGATGAGAAAAAATGTAAAAATCATTAACTCCATTAATACATGGAGAAACAAAAATTCAGACAGGTTGAATAAAAACTCAAACTCACAAAACCAAAAAGTGGGCATTAACATACTAATGTAGGTCCTTCAGACCCTAATGTTGTTTCCCAAAGCATCACACAATGCTGCTCTCAGAGTAGGAAAAAAGATGAGGGAAAGACTCCCTCCTTAAGGGTAGATTTTTTTATTTTCTTTATGAGTTAAAAATATTGATAAAATATTTTTATTGAATGGCTACTCTATATAAGACCCTATTTTAGGTGTTGAGAAGCAGTATGAATCAGACCCAGTCAGGCTCTGGATAATCCCATATCTTCCCATATATTTAAATGTCTATCACTCCTAAATCTAAATCTACAGTCCTGATAAATTCAACTACCTAATTGACAGTCCACTTTCATGTTTTATAAACTTTTTCAATTTGCCGTTTCTAGAACTGAACTCTTGATTTTTCCCTACAAACAAATTCAATCCCTCAGCCTTCTCCACCTCATGAAACGGCACCACCACACTCCCCTCCATCACTCAGAGCTAATCAATAATCAAATGCCTTAAATTTGTCTCAAAAATATATCTTAATTCCATTTGCTGCTCCTTATCTCCATTACCCTCAGACATCTAACTGGTCTCTTCATTTTCATCTTGTATTGCCTCAATTTAATCTCCTTACTTGAACTGGCATGATCTCTTAAGAACATAAATTGGTTTATGTCAATTCCATGGTAAGTATTTAAATACTTTAACAACTACTTACCATATTTATAACGAAATCTAAACTTTCATGCTGCACAGGGTTACCACATACCGTCCTCTGCTGTCCTGAGGTAACTAGTAATAGAGCCTCCTTTCACTCCTAAAATTGTCCCATTTAGATGATAAATTGCATGGTCATCATATCTATAGGGCTCTTTGTAATCTTTCCTCTACCTACCCATTTTCTACCCATGGCCAACGTCTTCTCCCTCAGAACTCAGTGAGGTCTTCCTTTAAGTCTCGCCTGTAATTATTTTTCTTCAAAATCTGAACCATAGTGTTTAATCCTGTACTTTATTGTTTTATTTGTGGAATGTCTGTCCATCCCTTCAAGGTATACAGAGAGACCCAGGCCCATGGCCGTGTTGTTCACCCCTAGACACTTCAGTCAGCATAGCACCTGGCACATGGTAGGTGTCCACAAATATTTACTGAAGGATAAACGACTAAATAAACTCGCCATATACTCAGAGAGTTATGGAGACACATAGTATAACATTTAAATAATAAAAATGTTTTCAACATATCAATGACCCAAACTATTATAGAGGAGGAAGAAGTTACTTCTGTTTGGAGTCAAAGAGGTTGACTAGGGAAGGTTCCATAAGGGGAAGAAGCCCAGTCAGTGTTGATGGATGAAAAAGGTCATGTTATGTGCATCAAGAAACTCTGAGAAAATATTTCTAAGCAGAAGAGACAGCGTTTGCAAAGGTAAAAAGGTTTACAACAGTGTGATTATTCAGGGAACACAAAGTAGTTTCTATTATTAGAGAGTACAGTCTTGCATAAATGATATATTAATGCCTGAATCCCTAAGGACAAAGCCTAAATTATGCAGAACACTGCAGGAAATATAGAGAAGAGCTAAGAAATCTGAAGTTTAGTTTTGTTTTCATTTATAGTGCTAGGATGATTAGAGAATTTCTATTGCATATTTAGCTCACCTTATAAATTATAGAAGTTCTTCGGTAAGTAAATCAATTTTTGAAGAGTTATATTTCAAGCTTCATTACTGTAAAGAATCCTCTCAGTTGTGAGTTTATCATGTAATATTCACAAAATTATAATACACCGTCCACAACAAACTATATTGAGACTTATGGTATAGAAAACTAAACTGGGCTTTTCCCTCAAATGATTTTTTGGGTTTGCATTTTAAGAATCATCTCAAATTTCTGCTTTGGATAATGTATTTTTCTTGATCATTACACTGTAAAAGGAAACAGGCTAAAACTACTAAATTACATTTTGGCATTTATATTATACAAATGCGAAGATGAACATACATATAGAATTTATAGAACATCAAGTCATATTTTGATGTAACTAAGAGTTGAAATAGTGTTTTAAAACTCATCTCAGTGGCCGGCCCCGTGGCTTAGCAGTTAAGTGCGTGCACTCTGCTACTGGCGGCCCAGGATCATATCCCAGGTGCGCACCGCCGCACCGCTTCTCCGGCCATGCTGAGGCCGCGTCCCACGTACAGCAACTAGAAGGATGTGCAACTGTGACATACAACTATCTACTGGGGCTTTGGGGAAAAAAAAAGGAGGAGGATTGGCAATAGATGTTAGCTCAGAGCCGGTCTTCCTCAGCAAAAAGAGGAGGATTAAGATGCATGTTAGCTCAGGGCTGATCTTCCTTACACACAAAAAATAAATAAATAAAATAAATAAATAAAACTCATCTCAGCACTATTTACCTAGAAAGAGAAAATTTTCAAGAAATATCCTTGGAACAGATAATCATAAATGCTTACT